GCTTGCACAACATCATTTAATGGACTGTGTGAAGTGAGTCATAAGCTTCAGAAGAAAATTGACATGAAAATACCAATAACTAGGTCTACTCAGTCAGGTCCTCCGGGGATCTGCATATAGATTGTCAACAGACAAACACAGTAAATTGTCCCTTCGCTTCTGAACCTAAATAAGTATAATGTGTCAAGTATGTCTACGTAAGATCTCAAACAGAATGTGGGTAGATTTTAAGTATATGTAATGCCATTATTTCTCTAAGCTTATGCTCTGTTCCAGTGGTCTGTTTATGTGCAAGAGAAACCTGGCCTACCTGTCATACCTTTTACTGCAGTGAATAGGTCTTTGGGTAGGTTTATTTTTGAAAGTCAATTTCATCTGCACATACCTTAATGTCCAGACTGCAAAAAAAAAAAAAAAAAAGCTACTGAATATTTCCACTGTTATTGCCCAAGATAAAAGAAAACAGTGACCCTCTGTGACCCAGTAGTGGGGCATGTTGTTACAATGAAACCTGTCTATTTAAACGACTATTATTCAGCAAAATTGATACAATAAACACTGCTGGAAAAACACACAATTCTGTTATTGGACTTCAAACTTTGGATAACAAATAAAATAATATTACTTTCTTGATCTTTTACTAGCATGCATGAAATTATTCTGGTTATCAGATTTATGTATTACAGATCAGATTTAAAATAAAGATTTATTTATATTATAATATTTATTCATAGATTTTTATATTATTTATTGTATAAAAACATATGGGTCAAAGTCAAAGACGAGATGTCCCATTTTGGTGTTCGCATCAAGTGATTTTATATCAAGTGATTTTATGTACGAAAAACATAAAATGCAAGCAAAGTGTCTACTGTTCATTAATGTTTCAAATAACTTTTGTAAAAAATTACGTGTCAAAATAAGGGATAAATAATGTTTCATCATCATTCAGTGTATTTATGTAAAAATGTACTTTTTCTAGCCTGTACTTATTAAAATATAAAAAATATTTTTGGTGTATGACCTATTTTTACACTAAATGACATTTCAGTGGGTGTCTTCTGTAAATTATGGTAAATAATTAATAATAAACAAATTACAATAAAATTTAAACTTCAAATAAATAAATAAATTAATTAATTAACTTTTATAGTTTTGATATTTTATAGAATTTATTTATTTTTATTTATTTATAGTGCTACAGACAATAGTGCTAGTGTTATAGTGTTATATAACACGAAGTGTTATAGTGCTATATGCCAAATCACACTTACTGTACTCACTCGTAAGAAGCCATTTACACAAGAATGTGTTCTTGCATGCAGAATCAGCTAGACACTTCTGCTTTATTAGTAATATATTTTCTCTTAAAATACTTAATGTATTGATGATGTAGAACCCCTGTATCTTACTGACATCACTTGGTATAATAGAGTCAAGATGCATTTAGCTGCGATTAAGATTGATAATACTGGGGGTCTAAAGTCAAGTCAAGTCAAGTCAAGTCACCTTTATTTATATAGCGCTTTTAACAATACAGATTGTGTCAAAGCAACTGAACAGCATTAATTAGGAAAATAGTGTCAATAATGCAAAATGACAATAGTAAACACAAATTTTTCAGTTAAAGACAGTTCATCATTGAATTCAGTGATGTCAACATCCAGCTCAGTTTAAATAGTATCTTTGCAATCAAGTCAACGGTATCGCTGGAAATGAAGTGTCCCCAACTAAGCAAGCCAGAGGCGACAAGTTGCTATCTAGTATAACACCCAGATTTTTGACTGTCCCAGATTAAAGCTGTTTAAGCTATGAGGCAATAGCATGTAACACGGTCTGCATGTATCAGACTACATGATACACATTACAACTCAATTAAAGTTTCATTAAAATGTTGCCTCACTTTCAAATCACATCTTTTGCATTGGGGCTATCATTTTTGTTGTTGATGATTTAGTTGTGTGGAGCCGGAGGGAAGGATATGACACCATCAAGTTGAAGGTGGGATTGACTCTGATTGAGATGAATGTGCCAGCTGTATCACAATAGACTATAAATATTTGATGGTTTAATGTGACTCTGCATCATGGGTAATTAATGACTATAGTATTAACATTTAGATGGATTAGGCCTGCATCCCATCCTTGCCTGTTTCCTGCTGCACATCAAAAAAATCATCACTGACACGCAAAGACATCGCTACAGACACAAGCAGGTACAATGAGATGCGCAGATATTGTAAACTGTCAAGATTCAGGTGCAACAAATCACACAGACTACAGCTCCCTGCATGCACAGAACTCATAAAGTGACTCATGATGCTCAGAAGCAACATCTGTGTAAGACAGCCAATTTGAGACACAGCAGCCCTGTTGAGAGACATACCAAACTAATGAAGATTGCATATGCAATAAATGGAGGACTTATAACGTGATGAGAAAGTTTCAAATAAAGTAGGTCACATGTATTAGATTCCTATAGTAGTACGTGGAGGATCAGGACCATGGACAGCTCTTTCAGCATGGATATTCAAGACTGCAACATTTGTCACGGTGCGTGCGGGGAGATGACGCGAGGACCCAAGTGCAGGAGAAATGGTTATTTATTTTAGTAAAAAATGAAACAAAAACAAACTCAAACCACCCCGAGGGGGAAAAACAGACAGGCAGGCCTAAAGCTGCATCACATGCAGACACGAAACACACACAATGAGAAATGACGGATCAGCACAGGATGACAGACACCAGGAGAATAAATAGGAACCAAACGAGGAGGCTAACGAGGGAGACACACTTGGGCGGCGCCGGCAGGGCAAGGAGCTTGGGCAGCGCTGGCAGGGCAAGGAGCTTGGGCGGCGCCGGCAGGGCACCGGGCTCTAGGGAGGCCTCCCGGCCTTGAAGGACGGAAGAAGCCTTTTTCCTCCTCCTCCGTTTCCGAGAGGGTGGCACTGCAGCTTCGTCTGCCGCCTCTGGGGGCGCTGCAACCCCTTCGGCCACCACCGGGGGCGCTGCAGCTTTATCGGCCGCCTCTGGGGGCGCTGCAACCTCTTCAGCCACCACCGGGAGCGCTGCAGCTTCATCAGCCGCCTCTGGGGGCGCTGCAACCTCTTCGGCCACCACCCGGGGCGCTGCAGCTTCATCGGCCGCCTCTGGGGGCGCTGCAACCTCTTCGGCCACCACCGGGAGCGCTGCAGTTTCATCAGCCGCCTCTGGGGGCGCTGCAACCTCTTCGGCCACCACTGGGGGCGCGGCAGCTTCGTCGGCCACCTTCGGGGGCGCTGCAGCCTTGTCGGCCATCCCGGGAGGCGCTGCAGCCCCCTTAGCTGAAGAACGTGCCAGGAACTCCACAAACCCCTCAAA